ATTTTATTAGGGTCAATAAGATTACTCCAAGATCCTAACTTGACTAAAACAATGATTAATAATTTCTTTCCTCCCTCTCCTCCCTCTATTCATCTATTTATACATACAAATGTACATCAATTTATTCATTTATTTACTCATCTAATAAAGGTAAATACCATGTGCTTGGCTCTATGCAAGACACTATGAATATGATAAGATATAGCTCCTTCCCTCAAGGTACTTCCATTCCAGTGGATAAAAATAATTAGTAAGATGATTTTACTATTGATGATAAGTGTTAAGAAAAGAAAATATGGAAACCTAAGGGGGGCACATAAAAGGGAGTACATACTTGAATTTGGGGGTCAGGAATGGATTCCATGGAAAGTGTGAGTAGGAGTCATTATAAGAAGAAATTAGCCAGGGAAAGATGAAAAGTGGGAGTAATGGAGAAAAAAATAGCACCGTGTCCACAAAAAAAACCCCAACACAACATTCATTTGAGAAAGTGAAATTAGCTCAGCTGATTAGAGTAAGACTAGGGGAGTGTAGCATTAAAGAGAAAAGAATAGGTGCCCAATTGTGTAAGTGCGCTAAAGCCCTTAATACCAAGCCTAGATTTAATATGTGACCTAATTGCTATTTCAACCTCTCCCAGATACATAACCTTTTTTATTATTCTCTCTTGAGTACATGCTTATTGATTTAGAGAGAGGAAAGAAGAGAGAGAAGGAGAGAAACATTGATGTGAGAGAGAAACATTGATCAGTTGCCTCCCACATGCACCCAAACCAGGAATCGAACCAGCAACTTAGGCAAGTGTCTTGTCAGGGAATCAAACCCACGACCTTTTGGTTTATGAGATGAAGCTCCAATCAAGTGAACCACACCAGCTAGGGATCCCAGAAACATAACCTTAATCACCAGGCTGGAATTCTCTGGTCAATACCAATGAGGTAATCTGAATGGAAACCTGAGAGGGAACTTTCTCTATAAAAGACAGCCCTTCTTTTTCTTGGTGGACTACAGTTTGGGTTGCTGCCTGAATCGGTGGCTCTCAAGTGGTAATCTTTTGTTCAAATAAATGCTGTTTATCCTTTATCACAGCCTAAAATTACTTTTGGTTGACAGAGACTTATACTCAGAGTTTCTGCTGTACTCTCTCATTTGCCATGGTGGTTATTGAAGACTTTTTCAAAGGAGAGTAATATAAGCAGATAGCAGTGTGGAGAATAGAATAAAAAGAGCAGTTGGGATAGGAGGGTATTGTAATAATTGGATAAGAAAAATGGTGTGCCCTGGCTGGTGTGGTTCACTTGGCTGGAGTGACCAAAAGAGTGACCAAAAGTTACTTTGTTCAGTAACCAAAAGATTGCAAGTTATATTCTGGGTCAGGGCACATGCCTTGGTTGCAGGTCTGAGCATGACAGTCCTGAGTCTGGGTGCATACGATCCCTGGTACAGGAACATATAGGAGGCAACCAACTGATGCTTCTCTCTTGTACCAAATGTTTGTCTTTCTCCCTCACTCTCTCCCTTCCTCCTTCTCTAAAAAGCAATGAAAAAGATGTCCTTGGGTGAGGATAAAAAAGAAGGAGAGAAAGAGAGAAAACGGTGTATTGATCTAGCATAGGTGGTTTACTCTGTCAGTGGAGATGGACAAAATGAGATATATTTGAGAGATATTTTTGAATAGAGAATTAATAGGACTTATTTATTGAATGTATCAAGAGAGAGAAAGAAAGAAGTTGGGAATGACTCCTGGAATTCTTGCTTGAGTAACTGAACATAGAGATGCCATTTTTTGAAATAGGGGAGGAACAGCAGATTATAATATTTTTTAAAGTCTGCACATTTTTGACACTACTCCAATCAAGAGGTAGAGTCTAAGTCCTCTTCCTTTGATGACTGCCTCAATAAAACAGAATGCCTCAGAACAGTCACTTTCAAAGCTAGATTTAAAAATATCAGGGAGCATTTGCCTATTTTTCTTGGGTTTAGTCTTACTCAGCCTAGGTACCAGCTATGTGAACGATGAAGGCTTAGAGATGATCTCAGGCTCCACCATGCTCTGGTGACTAGGACAAGACACCTCAAGGTGCTGAGCACATCCTACCTCCACATTTGTGGGCAGAACAAATGATTGTTACTAATTTAAGTAAAAGTACTGTGGTAGCTCATAATACAGCAACAGGTATCTGGAACAAGATGATGAGTTAGATTTTGGATATGTATTTAGATAGTCTGGGGGAGTTGTCTAAGAAGCAGCTAGAAATTCAGGTATGGGACTCAGGAAAGAACTTTGGGCTTGGAAATTTAAAATATTCTTCTCAGGCTTGACTCAGGTTGTGTGTGTCATAATTGCAAGGCAATTTCACATTCTTTGTTTTGATTTGATGTTAATAATAACCCCTTGAAAAATTGCAGGGCATATTATTATACTGTTATAAAGTTGAAAAAGCTGAGGCTCAGAAAACTTTTGTGACTTATAGAAAATCCCCTGTCATTGAACTTAGAGACAACACAGGTCTCATTCCTATTACATGTTGTTTGCACTGAATTTTGCTTAGTGTTGTAGGGATATGGGGAAGATGCCTAATAGTGGAGGGTACCCTGAAATCAGAGAACTGAGAAACTCAAGTTTGAGAAGGGATAAAACAGGAAATTTAAAAGTGTTTCTTAAATTTTTCCACAAAAGCATTTCTTACCAGGGAGAAGAGAGCTACTGTACTCTCAGGAAATCTGCATGTACCATCAAAAGGAAGTTTCCTAAAGTCATCAATTCATATAATTAACAATTATTTGTTGGTGCCAGCTATGTTCCAGGCACTGTGCTAAGGTCAGCACTAGACATGGTCCCTGTCCTCATTGAGCTCAAGGAAACAATGGAACAAAAAAATCACCAATAATCTAGGGGCTGAGATTTCTGGGAGGCAGTCACATGAAAATGGGAAGCTAAGAAAGGGTCAGGAAGAGAGGATGGTGCAGGAAATCCTAGGCAGAAGGAAAAACATTTACTGCACAGGCCTAGCAGCAAGAGAAAGCATCTCCTTCAAGGCAAAAAAAAGTTTAATTTAGATGGAATGTGGTTAATGGAAAGGAACACATACATTGGGGATAAGATGACCATCTGTATGCATAGTCTATACGCAAAGAAATTCGGGTACCTTGAATTTGTCTCTAGAGATAGTCCTGAAATATTCCAGTTCTCTTGGCAGCTCTGTCTTTCTAAAAGTTGAATTAATACTTCATTCACATATGCCCCACTACCAAGGTCAGGTCAGTGTCCTATGAATTCAATCAACCCTAAGGAACCCATGGAGACACATCATGTCTCTATCCTTAAGTAGTCATGAACCAAATCTAAAGTATTGCCACCCCAAGAAGCCTTTTCTGTCAGCATTTCTTCCTCATCTCCCTAAAAGTTACACTGTGGGGGCGACTTTCCTCACAAGTCCCCTGGTGTGCCATGGATAGAGTAAACCTGACTGAGACATGATGTGGTCTGCTTGCGGAGGAGAGGTGGCCAGTTTTCCAGAGGAAAAAGGCCTTGAGCAGTGGCCAGTTTCTCAGGGGAAAAAGGCATTGAGCCCCTTTCTCCAAAGGCTTTCATTGGGTTGTAATACACAGGAATACAGGCCAGCAAGGATCAAACAGTAGATAACATTTCAAAGAAATCTGAGGGCTTAGTGTGAGTCAGAGTCTGTCAGAAAGAAAGTTTTTAGGGTTTCCTGCTCCAACCCTTAATATATGAATGAAAGCACTCTTAGGAGAGCAGATCTCATGGGTTTATCAGGAAGTCTTTGTGATTCCAGATTTTTCCCTGGGACACACTCTAGCAAGACAAGGAGCTGCACCTCTCCCCATCAGGTATTCAGGCTTAAGGGGATTAGAGCCAGGAAGCGCTTCTCCCAGGGGACGTGGGGACTCGGGCTTTGTCAAAGCTGGTGGGGGGCAAGAGTCCATTGCTTTTTGTTGCAGCCCCCTGAATCCTTCCATGATGGCCTCCCAAGTGATCGAGTCTGGCCTAGGTTGCCCCTTTTCTGAGGGGTCTTATCCATCAAGGACTTCCGACCATGCTTTGGGGGCAGGGAGGAAACTGAGGCAGCATTTGCTACCAGAGACAAGCTTTGCCTCGTGTGGCTCGAATTCCAAAGGTCACTGACTTACCCTTAGCCACAGGGGGTAGAGTTACAATTCCTAGAACCAGGCAGAGTGGTCCACAACATTACATACTGTCATTAAATTTATGATGCTGTGTTTTTTTCCATGTTTGTTCACTTTTACCCATTTTTTCTTACAGTGGTAAGCATTAAAACCTTTTAGATGAAAAACAAAACAAAACAAAACAAAACCCTGAGCATTTATTAAGCAGGGAACAGTGAGAAAGGCAATAGCTGAGCTCTTGCTTCTCAGCTGGCCTGGGAAGAAAGGTACTAACGGGTTCAGCAACTGTAACAGGAAAAGTAGTTATCTCATAAGAAGGCCAGAACCAGCCCATGGCTGGAGAATGCACCTTAACTCTTAACAACCAGGTGCTTCGGAGTTCAGAGTGCCTTTTATGCTGAAAGCTCTACTCAGCCCCTCATTTAGAGACCCTTCACGCAGCAATTCTTTCCAACTTATCTTTCCTACAATTTGATTTCCTACAGTGACATCATTTATCTAGGCTTAGGACAGAACACCTTGCAAAGACAAAAGTTTCATGGAGCAGCAAAGTGTACCTGAGCATAAAAATGTGGCATCTATCAGTGTGGAGATTCCTGTTATTCAAAATGCAAAAACTACTTCACAGACCACAGGCCATGAGACTAAATATGACGGGCCTACTTCCTCATCTCCCGGTGGTTCAGTTTTTGCCATGTCCCACTGAGAAAAGGCATAGAACCTGATAATCCAAGGTTCAGAAAAGCCCCCCAACTCATCACTTCCCTGCTTCCAAAATGGAAGTGCCTATGGCCTGGACCACAATTGTGTCTTTGGTGCACAATCACAGACAAACAGTTTATAGAAAATACCTTGAATGTTGGTTTCCAAGAAACAAAGAGGCAGCAGTAGAAGTTCCAGAGCCAGACACAACTTCAGCCCTTTGGAGCACATTACAGAGCTTCCCAGGAACTCTGATGGCAGGCAAGAACCAGACTGAAAACAGTGGGGGCTTCAGTGCTCTTTATCTTATGGCCGTGGGTGAGCCACAGATCTTTCTTTCTGTCTGCCCAGCAGCTTGTGGGTGGGGCCTGGAGGCCAGAAACAGGAAGCCACATAGATTTTTAAAATTAGACTTTATTTCTTAGAGCAGTTTTTAGGTTCACAGAAAAACTAAGAAGAAAGTACAGAGATTTCCCTTATATTTCCTAACCCCAACATGCATAGCCTCCCCCATTATCTACATCTCTAACCAGAGTGGTACATTTGTTACAATTGATGAACCTACATTGACACATCATTATTACTAAAAGTCCATAGTTTACTTTAGGTTTCACATTTGGCTTTGTACATTCTATAGATCTGAACAAATATATAATGACTGTATCCACTTGCTCTGGCCAGCAGAGCAGTCAACTGGAGCTCGACCACCTTCCTGGAACAAATGGGTTGAGGGGACAAGAGGCACGAAGAATGGCAGCAAGACAATAAATTCTGATCAAGCTGCAAATTTTATTTTTCCGTACTGGGTATATATATAGGGAAGAAGGGAGGGGAAGAAGATTAGGCTGCTTGCTATTGGCTAGCTTAAGACAAAGGAGGGCCCGCTTATTGGTTACTTGGGTGTAACTTGTTCTCTTGGACACCTCATGTGCCTGTAGCCAATTGGCTTGTGGAGCGCATGCACACGGGGGGCTAGCCAGAGGTTATTCGGAGAGTCCTTGTTGATTAGAGGTTCCGATAGTCAAGGGACTGTGCTTTGTGGCTAACCGCAATGTTCTTAGCTAAAAGCCAGGTGCTCATTTCTGGGAAGTACGAGACCTGGGCAAGGTTCCCAACATCTCCTACCTTTTTATTACTTTGAGGGCGAGGAGAATGTAGGTAGGGTAGACTTTAACCAGCTGGGGGTGGTAGAGGCCTGACTCCTCCTGGGCTTATTCTGAGCTTTAGGGTACCTTTTGGGAGGAGAGGAGTTGGGTACCAACCTCTTTGCAAGTCAGCTTACCTCTCAGGAGACTCGAAGTGGCCATATGTGTGGGCCCCTCCTTGCAGTGCTTTGCCTTGCACCCAGCAGTGTCTATCACAGCTACTTGGCTGTGAAGCATACCTTCAAGGGTTATGCTGCTCCCGCAGGAGGGGAACCTGGCAGGAATCGTGGGCTAGCACCCCAGTGGCTGTACGGCTCAGAGTCCGCTCCATGTTCCAGCATTTCTAATTGATGATAGTGCACCTGAATAGGTCTTCCTAGCACACTATTAAGTTGGTCTTTTACTAAGTTGGTTACACGTCTAAGAATCCAGGGGGCAAAGGAAATTATGAGGGTGACAGAAACTAAAGGTCCTAAGAGGGGAAGGAGGTAGGGGAGAATTCCGTTGAGTCCACCCCAAAGGGGGTGTTTGGAAAGTTCTTTTCTCTAGGTCTTCTTGTAATTTTCTTATCTTGTCTCGGACGATGCCTGATTTGTTGGCATAGAAGCAGCAGTGTTCCTGTAAAGCCAAACAGATACCTCCCTGTTCTGCAGTAAGTAAATCTAGACCTCGTCTGTTTTGGAGGACAACTTCTGCTAGGGAGTCTACTTGGTCTTGGATGTCACTAATGGTACTGGACAGAGTCTGGACATCATAAATTAGTTGTTTAGAGAGCTTTGTGTATGAATGGACTGCAACTCCCAATCCTGCAGTCCCTGTGGCAACTGCTCCAGAGACGCCTAATCCAACTAATAGGGGTATGAATGTTAATGCTCTTTTTTGTCGCCCCGCAATATGGTCTAAGCTGGGAACGGGGACAGGCTCGTCTCTGGGGAGAACATCTATATCTGGTAGTAAGGTAGCCAAGGCACATAGCCTGGTCCAGTTAGCGGGCAAGGCTGAAAAGGCCAGGTTGTTTCCACAAACGAATATTTGTCCATGACCTGGGCAAAGGGGGTTACTATAATTGGTTATGCTGCTACAACTAGTAAATTCTATAAAGCCGACGGGAATGTCGAAGCTATTATTTTGAGCTATGCCTTGTAAGCACGGGGAGGGTGGGAATATTGTAGGTTGGACTCTAAAAGGTAAACTAGGGTTACATTGTAGCTGTGATTCACTAAGGGTGGATATATTGACAGGAATAGCTAAAGGCATGGGGGTGCCTAGGCTCATACATAACCAGCAATCCTCGGCTAGGTGAGGGTTAGATATGTTAAGAGCTTGATGTGTGGCTATTAAAATGTCAGCAGTCTGGGTATCTAGGTCTACTCCCCACGGTTTGGGGAAAGCTAGTGGGTGGTAGGCGAGATGTTTTACAAAGGCACTTTCACTTTCTCCTGTGCCGAATAGGCGCTCTGCTAGCTCTTGTAAGCGGCTAATAAAGTTGCTATAGGGTTCATCAGGACCTTGTCTAATTTTTTCTAGGGAAGTGGTAGTGGCCCCTTTTTGGGGAAGGTGCTTCCAGGCTTTCAACCCAGCGGACTGGATTTGTGTTAAAAGTCCGGGGGGATATTGAGCCTGTTTTTCATTGTGTTGATATGGGCTAGTGCCTAGGAATTTCTTTAATGTCCACCTTTTGGAAGAGGTTTTATGGGCATTACGTTCAGCAAATTGTTTGGAGGTCTCTTCATAATCACTTTTCCAAAGTATGAAATCGCCTCTGCTTAGGGAGGCTCTGGCTACAAAAAAACCAATCATTGGGTGTAAGCCACCATTCACTAAGGTTTTCAATTAAGGCCATTGTGAAGGGGGCAGTGGGACCATAGTTGGCTACGGCCATTTTGACTTTTTCTAAGGTTTTTAAGCTGAGCTGCTTATAGGTGTGGGAGTAGGAGGGTTCGGAGGCAGAAGCCTCTTCCTCATCAGAGCTAGAGCCATCAGAATCTCGTTCATCCTCGCTACTTGGGAGAGAGTGTTGGGAGCCATTGGTCTCGCAGGCTTGGCTACCTGAGGGCACATCAGCTTGGCTGCTTGAGGGGGCATTGGCCTGACTTTGGCTTCTGGTGACGGGGAAAGTGAGTAATTTAGTGGGGGTGGATACGGTCAAATCAGTGAATTCTTTAGCTATGGCCTTGATTTCTCGAATGAGAATCAAGGCTTCTTGAATGGAGGTTTTTTGGAGAAGGGGTTTTTGGTGGATTGTTGGTGGCTCGGGGTTGTTTAGAATGGGGGCCAGAATAGGGGTGGCCGCGGCTGGTAGGTTTGAGGGTGCATAAGGGGGTGGCCGAAAAGCTGGGAGATCTTTAAGTAAGGGGGCAGAAGAGAGGGGAGGCCAGTCAGAGTTATTGTAACAAGCGGCCTCTTTTTCTTTCTTTTTTTTTTTTAATAATTTTATTTATTTATCTTTAGAGGGGAAGGGAAGGAGAGAGGGAGAGAAACATTAATGTATGGTTGCCTTTTGTGTGTCCCCTGCTGGGAACTGGCCTGCCGGGAACCAACCTGCAACCCAAGTATGTGCCCTGACTGGGAATTGAACCGCGATTGTCTGGTTCGCAGGCCTGTGCTCAGTCCACTGAGCTACACCAGCCAGGGCTAAGCGGCCTCTTTTTCGAGTTCGGCCTCTTCTGCTGGGTTTAATTGGTCGACATGGTTATTTGAGGAATTACGGGAAGGGTCAGGGTTTTTTAAAATCTCTTCCTCTATGTTAATAGAAATTGAGGGGCAAATTGAGGGGGCCCTCGAAGGGGGCCGAGATTGAGTTTTTTAAATTTCTTGTCCCTCTTTACAGAGATTTTGGGCTGAAGGGGCCCTTGAGGGGGGCCGGGATTGATTTTTAAGAACTTCTTGCCCTTCTTTACAGAGGTTCTGGACATCCGGAGAATGCCCATGAGTGACTAAGATTTCCTTAATGAGATTAAAATAACTGAAGGCGGTGATAGGGACGGTCTGGGGGCCAAAGACTCGATAATAGTCGTTAAGGCAATCTCTGACCTGGTTCCAACACCCCGTGGGTCAATTGTCCCCTCTTGGGGGAACCAGGGGCACGTTTTGAATATAAAGTCAAAAAATAAAACTAAATCTTTTTTCTTAACTCGAGTTCCTCGCACCTTGAGAGCTTGCTTTAATTGACTTATAAAAAAAATATCATTCTGTGAACATGTTTGTCCCATTACTGGGCCTTACCTGGCCGAGTTCCCAGTCGAGGGGAGGGGCTCCTGGATCTGTCTCCCGGTGGAGTAGTCGCGCGATCCGTGCTGGGAAGTCACTGGCAGGGACGGCCCTTTGTTCCGGTGGCTATTGGGCCCCACGTTGGGCGCCACTTGCTCTGGCCAGCAGAGCAGTCAACTGGAGCTCGACCACCTTCCTGGAACAAATGGGTTGAGGGGACAAGAGGCACGAAGAATGGCAGCAAGACAATAAATTCTGATCAAGCTGCAAATTTTTTTTTCCCGTACTGGGTATATATATATATATAGAGAGAGAGAGAGAGAAGGGAGGGGGAAAAAAAAAAAAAAGGAGATCAGGCTACTTGCTATTGGCTAGCTTAAGACAAAGGAGGGCCTGCTTATTGGTTACTTGGATGTAACTTGTTCTCTTGGACACCTCATGTGCCTGTAGCCAATTGGCTTGTGGAGCGCATGCACAGGGTGGGGGGGGGGCTAGCCAGAGGTTATTTGGAGAGTCCTTGTTGATTAGAGGTTCCGATAGTCAAGGGACTGTGCTTTGTGGCTAACTGCAATGTTCTTAGCTAAAAGCCAGGTGCTCATTTCTGGGAAGTACGAGACCTGGGACAAGGTTCCCAACATCCACTATTATACTACCACAGCAGAATAGTTCCACTGTGTTAAAAATCCTCTATGCTCCTCTTATTCATCCCTCTTTCCCTAAATTTCTAGCAACCACTGATCTTTTTACTGTCTTCATAGTTCTGATTTTTCCAGACTATCATATAAGTGGAATCATATACTACGTAGCCTTTCAGATATTTTTCTTTCATCCTTCTTCTTCTCCCCCCATGCCATCCTTCTCCTCTCAAAAAATTTTTTATTAAATTTTTTGGGGTGACATTTGTTAATGGGATCATATAGGTTTCAAGAGTACATTTCTGTGATACTGGATCTATATATTGCACTGCATGCCCACCACCTACAGTCACACCATCTTCCATCAACCATAA